CAAGTTGATCTACTTTCACAAGTTTACTAGAGCCCCTTAAAGTTCGCCGGTTTGGTAATATTGAGTTTGGTGGCTGAACCTTTCTTCTTATTGGCTAGTGTTTTAAAAGTCGTCGATAGGGTGGGAGATAAATAGAGTCGATAAACAAATAGAGTCTATAAAGCAAACGTAAGCAAAAAGAAATGGTTGTGGCCTTAATGGGTTGGGCAGCTGAGAAGGAATAAGTGCGGCGAAATAAGGGCGAAGGGGAAAGTGCAGTACAAGGGTTGACGTGCGGTATGAACACACTAAGCCTATGCCTATAGACTTGTGAAGTTCTTCAAGTGGCTTCAACTTGCAGCGTTAGAGTATGCCTAGGTCCTTCACTTAACGTGTAAGATATAAAGGTTGGCCGTTGTGGGTGTATGCTCGGCCGTCACCACCCTTTCATAACCTCATTAATACTGACTTGAATGGTTTCACCAGGGGGGTGCACTTCTGGGGACCACTTGGAGATGCGGCTAAGGTCTTGCAAAAGCAGACTGCAGTCATCTGGGTGCTAATCACTCTCCGTATCCCCAAATCGTCCGCATACATAGCACAAGGCGACCGGTGAAGTTGAACTAACTCGCTGATGTCTATTAGGAGCGTGGTGGGCTCAAGCACCGTACACTAGGGCAAGTCATTAGTAGAATGATACCAGTCAGTTAGATGGCCATCGACCTGTATTCTCCGCTTTCTTCCAACGCGTAGCTCCCAGGTCAACCGATGCAGTGATCCGCTAACACGGCACGCTTTCGGCTTATGGAGGAAGACTAGTCGAACGCCCTACTGCAGTCAATGTAGATCACGTTGATGGTCTTGGGTCACTGACTGCGATCATTCATGTCTCACCACCAGCAGATTGGTAATACATGAGCGGACTTTTATGAAACCGTGCTGTGGATGTCGGTGGATATTTTGATTGGAACTCTAATATAGTCAATCCTTCTCCCCGATCTTTCAAGTAACCTTGGTCAAAGCCAGTGTCAAACAAATTGGCTTGTAATTGTCCCCTTTGCTGTGGTCACTGCCTTTCAGCATCGGCTTTGTTACTGAGCATTTCAGTCGCTCGGCAATGAGTTTTCGGACGGCAATCTGGTGAACAGGTCAGAACGGCCGGTCATGATGATAGCCGATAGAGACTTGAGAATCAGGAGGTGGAGCCCAACAGGCCTTGGTGTCGTTAGGGTTGGCGAGTAGTTGACGCACCTCTACAATGCCATAATCCAGACTGCCGCTTTCGGTATGGACGATGCACGCCGAATTCGGTACAGACACTTGATCATTTGCAACCACTGATGCAACGTGCGCCCCTAACGTGGATGAATGCTTAGTGCTTGAGGTTAGGAGCTGTCCACCTGAGACCTCTAACAGTGGTAGGTCTCTTGCCGACTTCAGGCACCGCTTCACGTAAGCAAACATTCCCCTCGTGGCGGTTCCAAGCTGATTTTTGAAATTCCGGTGCTTTCATTTTTTCACCCTGTTGAAAATATTCTGATACTTTTCTTTAGGGTTGTAGTCGTCGACCGGGCCGCAGAGGAGAAATTTGTCCCACAGTCTGCACTGCTACCGAGCCAGTTTGCCATATTCTCTCTCGAACCATTGTGGCTTGCTTCGTCTAGGTTTCTGACACTTCAGTGGTGCAAACCTTAGAAACGGAATGTCATTCCCTCTTTTATAACTGTTCATCAGATGCAGCTTGTAGCGGAGACCAATCCACTGGGCTCGCACCTCAAGTTAGACCGTCGAAATCAGTTTTCCAGTACTTGTTATCTCGCTGCGGTGAACGAGATTACGGTAACGACAATCCTATGCCTGCTATGAGCACTATGTGGTCGCTTGTTGCCGGGGTCTCCAGAATCGTACCGTCGTATATGTTCTTAGCTCGTCAGCATCAATTCCAGGCACGATGTTGACCCCAGCGTTATGCATATCGGCTGGTATATGTTGCACTGACCCAGTTACGAGTACTAATACAACAAACTTGCTCCTACCTCGCAGTATCGGTACATGAGTTGAACTTCACACCAGCGTATTCTAGGACAATGCATTAGTCTGACACCGTTTGCGTCCAGAATATAAGCATCTATCATGCTCCGCAGTCTATCCCTTACTCGTGAGACACTACCGGGGAGGGGGGCAGGCCGGTTTTCGCTCCGGTCAAGAATGTGTGGATCAAATATCCACGCTTTGTCACCTCCAACATCGCCACCTTTGCTGCAGACTCACCATTGTCGCCTTCCTACACATTCGGGATGCATTCGACTCAGTAAACCGACGTGTTTCAAGGCGATACTTACTAAAGTGCGCAGTTCTTGATTAGTACGTCGCTATACTTCGGGCAATATACCTCCACACTTCAGACAAGGTGCGGGCCTATGGAAAGCTTTCTGCAATCTTCCCTGTCACCGGTTGTATTAGACAAAGATGCCTTATGTCTCCGGTTCTCTTCGATCTTATGATCGGGGATATCTTCTAAGGAACTTTAGAAGGTCTTCGAAGTTTCGACATCGAGCTCCTTCCAGGTAATCGCGCACTCGATTTAGGTTACTCTGACGATATTGCTCTGCTCAGTGAATATTCTCCTCATCATCCTTTTACACGTTAGCTAGAGTTGGGAAACAGCTATTGTGCGACAGTACATAGGAAAGGAGGAAAAGACACACGAGAGGCACGCCAGCTGAGTTACCAGTAACGGATGAACATCATTCCCGAGAGCTAACAACGGGCTATTTTGCCGTAAAAATGTTAGATTATGTCTCTGAAATGTGATCATGGTTGACGGGGGAGGCTAGGCGGAAGGGGGAGAGACAAGCAACTTACAACACAAACGCCACTGAAGTCGGGTCCTGGCCATAGCAACAAGTGTATCCAGCTAAACCTGTTCATCGTCTTTTGGGCCCCAACCAGGGAGCCGAGAGGCTCTAACCGAGGCCAACATTGAACTAATGACCTTCATTCTTCTTGATCAAGTTACTACTTGATCTCTCCTCCTCTTCTTCCATCTACACCCCAGGCGCGCAGCCAACGCGCGTTACGGGAGTCGGTGTACTGGCATGGGTAACACGTGGCCCAGCTATCGGAGCGAACATGCTCATTGCTGCCGCGGTGTTCCCTCCAGACATGAGCCAAACTGCGAAGGCACCGGTGGTTGAACGTAACAAGCCTCTTTTCACCTACCCATCTCATGGGTCACAGTGGCTATCCTCATGGTATGGAATCAATTATTGACCGACCAATGATTGAAGCGCCTAAGTATGGTATGCACCTTGCCCCTTCCAAATGCAAGGTGCTGTTACAGGATGAGCAGACACCTCTTCCTCAATTCACCATCGATGGGACGCAGCTCGAACACATGGGTAGTTTTGTCTGATTAGGGAACCGCATGTCTATAGAAGACACTATTGTGGAGGAGGTATCCCGTGGTATCGCGAAAGGCTGGTCGGCTTTTTCAACTTGATGCATTTGTGACTTCATTGTGACATCTCACTGTTGTTAAAGGGCCAGTGTTCGTGCTATACTGTTGTATGGGCGCGAATCTTGGCCGATCCTTGTAGATGACATACTGTGGCTGTTTGCAGATGATTACCCGTGGTGATGTCAAACACCGCGGCTTTGGCAAGACCCGTCTTCCTCTCTGTCGGCTTGTTCCTCTGTGCCAATTGATATTGGTTGGTTACATCATATCTGGGCCTAACGAATGTTTATCATGCCGCGTCCTACTTACGCTCGCAGAGCCGTATTGGAAGAGGCGGCGTGCGAGCCAGCCGGTTACTTATCACCAAAGCATGCAATCATAGACATCTTCCCTATTTATTTTTGGCCCCGTAGGTTGGGGGCCCAAAGAGGAAGAGTGCCTGTGGTTTTCAACGCTCGAAGCAATGGCGCAAAACCAGGTGCAGTGGAACCAATGTGCGTAATTCCGTTTGAATTTCTACTTTTATAGCTTGGACTCCTAAAAATGGCGCATTAAAAGCATAAAGCTTGTTGCTTTTCTTTGTTTTTCATTTCTCGATCCCTTTTTCCAAGTGTTGTACAATTTACTAACTGTAACCCTACTTCTCTTAAGTGTGATCAACCAAGTTAGAAGCGATCGGTACGAAAGTTCCCATGCAGTTGTCTGCCTGGCTATCGCAACGTTCACAGAATTCATGTGGTGGGGCGCAAAGTTTGTTGGTCCGTAGCTGCTTGTTTCCTAACATCTTACTGGCCAGTCTTAAGTTTAAAACTATAATTGTACATTTCTCGGTAAATCGATCCGCCTTCCTCTTGATGTGACCTACCATTGTACACACAATGCAGTCGCAATAACGGAAAACTAACAGAGCGGATGGTCGAGAAGACGTGACAGAACCCACATTACAGCATGTGCTTTCAAAATTTGTTCTCTGGGCTCTGTCGGTTAAGGATAGCACTGACAACTGCGAGGGTCATTTTTCCATGATACATTGATCACCCGACCAGAACTGAAACAGTTCCTCATTTTCCGCATCACATTTGATTCTGGTTTCTATATTTTTCATTCATGTTTCTATTGACACAGTCATGACCCGTTAAAATCTTGTCTGACCAACTAGACTGTTTCGTTCGATACGGGTGCTTGTTGGCCTTCCCACTTGCGTTCTTCGACCTTTTCTCTCGGCTTTCTTCTCTGCTCGCATGTTGCCTTCTTACATTTTCATTTCTTACTGCTTTGGACGTTGTCGCGTTGAATAATCTTGCTTGTTCAACTTTCAACTTCCATTTAATTGATTTTCATTGTCTCCTTCAAACAGTTCACTTTCCGTAGCCATATATGTTCCCCTGTTCGGAGTTAACTTTTGACGTCATCAGCGGTCAGAACTCGGTTTCTTGGAACTGTCTAAGTATGGTGTGTATTATATTACCCCTCGTCGCCTTGATATCCGTTTAACGAAGTTTTTCTACCGTATGCTCGAATTCTGTTTTTGATGGTCTTGTGTTTTCATTTGATACCTTAGTGGATGAACACAGAATACGAAAAGCTCGCTCGTATGATTTTCGTTGAGCTAAACGACGCGATGGCCGAATTCGAAAAAGATCCCGCTCCGACACTACCGTTCTGAGCATCCGCTGGACCTGTTTCCACTTTAACTATTGGATGGTGTTTCCTCCATTCAGCTCACTCTGCCCGCCGTTTAGTTCGCTCTGCATGCAGCGAATGGAGCCATTTTGCAGCTGCTTTGATCGCCTGTGCACAAGTATACTGTGATCTTCATAAGGCAATTTCCCCTTTCTACGTTACTTCTTGACCTGGCGAGAGTGAAAGTTGTTGTTGTTGTGTAACCTTCCAAACGTCTTTCTACAATACTATCGTTTGCGCCCCCCTTCTTACTGGTTATTTATGCACCCCATTTCACTACTATTCTCGGTGACCAACAACTCCGTGGACTAGTCAGAAGTGTTTATTATCGGATCATGCAGTTTTATCAAAACTACTTACCCAACTTTCTTGCCTCACAAGCAGTCTGCTTTAGAGGCTGTTTTCCATACTGCCGGTGTATATAAGCTTGATTTCCACCTTATGAATTACATTCCAATCATTCATGGCAATTATTTTTCATCTCTCTAAAATCCAGTCTGTCCATACCATTACTGCTCTTTGTGTCTCTCCATCGACTGGAAGGAAGGAATGCAATCGCTACTCCATGAGGCCAATATGCTAGGTTGACATTAGAGCCATGCTCGATCGCAGCAGTTGCTCACATCCTCCGGCTCGCTACCCCTGCACCTCAGCGTAAGTAGCGAGAGTGCCTACGAGGTCTTATAAAATCAGTACCATCTATCTTTAGAAAAGTGAACAGTTTGCCATTGTTCATAGCGGTACCACTGGCGCTTTAACAAAGTTGACCACGAGATCTAGTGGCTAGTTTTTTTTGTTATCGGATTTCGTAGACCATTGTGATCCGATATAGCTCGAATTGTTTTGGCTGTCAAAATTCTACATTGCATGTGTTCTGGCGCGTCACACTGCTACGCTTGTACCGGGAATTTGGACTGATGAGCATTCGGCGCTCGTACTGTATGACTTCTCTTACCGTACTTCGCTGTTGGTTGTACCGCCACCACTCCGAACAACTTGTGTTTGCCTACCCCTTTCCTCATTCGTGCTATACGCGAGAAATGAAGCGTATCCCGGTCACACAACAGAACCCACACAGCTAATTGCTGAAACGTGGTGATTTCCAATCTCATAACCATTACTGGGTTGGAAAAAGTCAGTCCGCAATGACCATGAAGATGGAAGTTATCCATGTCATCAACCTAGTTCGTCTTCGCTTTGTCCTGATGTGGAAGTCTGTGGCGCATTTTGTTGTCAATAGCGTACTTGATACAAAAATTGCCATGGTATCATACGATGAGCTTTCTCCTCTTTCCTTCGCAACTGCGTCTTTGTTTTTCTTGGTCAGCCATGGTCTCTAATTTTCACTGTCCCAGGTTTATCCTCTGATAGGTTGCCTATGGACTATCGACTCCTCCGTGGTTGATACTGACCTTTTTTGAGTACTCATCTCATGTGGAACATCTGATGGTGCAAGTCAACTTTTGATATACAACATCTGTGAGATCGAGCCTTATCTGTATACCTCTCCGGCCTGTTAAAGTTGGATTTAGCCAGAGATCACCTTGCAGGACACTGGAGAAATGACCGAGTACCTTGATCACGTTGCTGCTTACTGACGCCAGACAGCGGCCTTTCAACCGACCATATTGTCAGTTATTGAGAATACATGTAACGGAGTGCTGAGAACAATCGAACACACTCGGCTATATGGTGTCTAGAAATTCCACACCACACATTACAGTCAATAGACCAATGGTGCCTTCGTACTCGGTTTCCCGCTTGTGACTGCTGGTCCTTCCACTGAGATGGGCTGGCGTTCTCTTATTTTTGTACGTTATCGATCTTTCTTCATAGTGTTTTAAGTTAAAATAACCGTCTTCCACGCATCAATATTCTGGTTGTTGTCGGTCAGCCAAACTGAACGTTTTAGATAATTCCACCAAAACGCACTGTATTATGATGCCAAATGAGCCGAGTAAAATATCTAACGAATTGTTAATCCTTTGCTTGCTTGTCCATGAATCAGGTCCGGATCAACGGTTGATCGACGCGAGCTGTCCGTTCATCGCCCGGTACATTCTGTTATTTGCCGTCCCGCCTGTCTACTCTAGGCCTATATGTGAAGCTAACGTAGTGTGTTTGACCGTGTTCAGCAATTAGAAGGCTAAGCGCCACAGAATCAGCTTTCCTTGTCTGGTTGGCGCGACTTTGCTCAGAAAATCGATTGAAGATCCCAGTGGGCAATATTTCCTTCCGGTAGATTCAGAGGGTTGAGAAGTTTTCTATGTACAATCTGCCATTTTGGGATATCATCACTCTTATCCTGGGAACCGTGCTTGCGCCAGAAGATTGCATTGCTTCGAACCCCCTTTCAGTCAGTCACTTGTTTCCATTGCCAACACACTTGTGCGTCACCGCATAGTGTTCTGCAGAGCACAGGAAATGAACCGAACTCGAAAAAACTAACAGCTCCTTGTTGTGTTTTAGAGCTCCCGCCGCATATCTAAAACGCGTCACAATCTCAATTGAGACGACGACATAACTTGAACTAAAAATGGAACGCAGTACTGTGGCTGACGAATTACGTCTCAATCATTAGGTCTTTGGACTTCACCTATCGATCAAGGCTCAAGTCGTCAACCATTGTACCGGGTTCCATTTTCAATTCATGTTATCTCTGTCTGAAGAGGTCAATCCAGGACGAAATCGGCCACGCAGTGCAATGTGAGGAGACAGCGGCACTGAAACCCTCCACTTCGGATGCGGTCCCATTGATCAAATTGATAGAGGTTTGTTTTAAAGTCAACCTAGGTCCCAACATATATGGCTATCTAAGTGATAGGGGCTTTCTTCACAGCAGCTTCTAACTTAGATGGTCTTCCACGTGCCCGGAAAAGCACTAATCGGCCGTTTCGTGCTATCGACACGCGTCAACATCGGAACCCATGACCAACACCACTAGCGTTTTGCACCGTCACACAGCACCTTATGGCACTGACCCATGGGGGGAAAGTGATTGTGACGTTTAGTGTGCAATGTGCCAACAAGTATCGTAGCATGAACTTGTTAAGCTGCATCTGAAAACTTAAAAATAACATGGCTATTTTCCATTGGGAACTGGGCTGATTATCGCAAATCTGAATGAGTAAGATAATTTACACAGTTCACGAGAAGCTTCGAATACATTAGCATTTTCCACTATAAACAGAGTGATTTATCAATATTCCATTAATTATGAAGTCAATACAGATCCATAGTGCATCGACTGTGGAATGTGCAATAGGCAACACATTAACAAGTTAGCTGTGTCCTGCTCTGGTCAGATTCTAGGATCGCAGTCATGTTTTGTTGAAGGCCGAAACCTTTGCCCATATTTGTTATGGAAGGAAGAATTTATGAATTGATTTCTAAAACTAAACAAGTTCTGGCCTTTCCTCACTTGCAACGGCAACTTATTCCATAAATGGGTGTGCCTCAGTAGGAAGGGATTTAAGCGAATATTTGCTTGATCTTCCATAAGGATAGCAGTACTGGTTGAGAATACTCGCAGGCGTATGATACTAGAAGAGTGTGGTTCTTCAGACTTAGATAGAGTGTGGTTGTTCACTCGTAGACAGAGTGGTTTATGTAGGATGTGACGACTATTTTTCTTTGTACTGTACCGTTGTGAATATCAGAACTAGTTTGGTTACTGAGTGTTTTCCACAACTTTGAGTAGGCGGCTATGTATAATCATGCAGTACCCCAACCTAGGTTGCATTCCGTTTATTGATTATTCGTTTTTGGGGTGGTGAAAATGACATGGTTATGTTACTTGTCTTATTTGTTTTGCTTTCGCTACTTGCTGCAGTATATATTTGGAGAAGTTGAACTTACTAGAGTATCGAATGCCTAGGTATAGTACCGAGTATGAGGTTTTGAAGGAGACACCATTAGGAGCGACAGTCTCCTAGTACACACCGTCCACAGTAGATTTGTCCGCTGAAAACCTCACCGATCTATTTTCACTCCATTTGTTCAATGATTATCTAACCTTCGCATGTATTACTGAAAACTGCTAAACATTGAACGGTCTTTGTCACTTTGTTGGATCCAAAAAGCAATTCCCCAGTGTGCAACGTGCTACGGCCTAGCTTCCCCCTATGTACGTCTGATTTGCATACTTCCCCCAATCTCCTGTACATCATGTTCATGTTGAAGGAGTGTGGACCGGCTCCGTCGATTAAACGTGCCTCCTATCCACATACGTTTCTAAGGTCTTCTAGCCCGGGAGTTAAGAGCACCTTACCACATTTCAGACTCACTCTGTAACTAATTACCTTGTTATCGCTTTTATCTCACATCGGCCTTCAAAGGTGATGTACAGTGATGTAATCGCTGCCCAATTATGCGAAACACGCCTCCAAACTGCTGATGTCTATGCTTTGAAAATATGCAGATCAGCGATCGGCAGATTGTGCCATACTCTAATATTTCCTCTTCATCGTTATGTTGTAGGAGCTTTAACTTATTCTGCTATTTTTAGCTTATTTCTCTTCGCACAGGGAAGATACTAGCCACAATCATGTGACTCTCTAACCACATCATTCAAAAGCTATTGATGTGCATACAATCAATAGCTTTTGAATGATGTGGTTAGAGTCACATGATTGTGGCTAGTATCTTCCCTGTGCGAAGAGAAATAAGCTAAAAATAGCAGAATAAGTTAAAGCTCCTACAATGTCATTCATTCATTGTGATGTCAACATCACGGACAAACAACGCTCTGAAATGCGTGTAGAAATTTGTCACTGGGCTGTATGGGTCATAAAGAACGCTGACATTGGAAAACATTTATCGTACTTCAACTGTCTGGTTGCATTTCGCATTTCACACGCTCCTCAATGAGACTTGGCCTAACCGCTTCTCTCGACAACTACAGTTCTGAAAATTATAATGAGAAGACAGATGTTGCAAGGTGATATCATTTCATGCTCTCTGATCCCATGTTAAGGAGCAATCTTTTAAGACGATCAACAATGAAAGGGAATCAAAGTTTAACTTTTGAATGAGTATGCACATACTGTCATAGACCATAGCAGAACTACACGTTGTGACACAAGCGTTACGGTCCACAAGGAAGCTTGAGTGTGAAAGTCAGCTGTTTTGCACACAAAGGTCAGGGCTATGCGATTAATGGCTATGGCCTCAGCGAGCTTGAGTAGTTTGGCGTTTGTATTTCGGTAGATAATCGTAAACGCCACGTCAGGTCAACTTGATGACCTGTGCTCTGTAAGTGCTTAGCAATCGATGAAGTCGGCATTCTGAAGGTCAACGCCTGTCCTCGTGCTTTCCCTTTCGTAACGGCATCAACCCACTTCGGGATGTGTTCTCCGACCCGCTTACGTAGACTCCGATCTGTTCTGCCGATGTAACTGATTTCGCAGCTGCAGACAAACATAAATACAATGTGTTATGGCCGAGATCGGTTGGGTAAACTTCACCAGAAGCGTTGTTAACGTCCTGGTTGTTCAAAGAGGGAT